CGAGTTAACGTTTCGCAAACACGTCACGGATCTATGTAGCAAATCTTTTAGACATTTAGGGTTTATATTGAGACAGGGTCACGATTTTAAAAATATAGCGGTACTTAAAATTCTATATAATGCATTGGTTAGAAGCCATCTTGAAACTTGTGCTATTATTTGGAATCCACATGAGGACAAATACATTAAGATGTTGGAAAAAATACAGAACAAGTTCACAAGATTTTTGTATTTGAAATTGTATGGGATTTATCCATTTTTCCCATTGATGTACCCAAGTTTATTCGTCCTGGGGACAGTTGGGTACAATACACTAGAGGTGCGGAGAGATGTGGCGCTAGTTAAATATATAGCCAGGGTACTACGAGGATTGGTCCATCACCCGGAAGTGCTGGAGATGTTGGGATTGCGTGTGCCAGACGGATACGTGGGGGCTCGTCGCCGCCCCGCCCTGTTGGAGGTGCCAAGGGCTAGAACTAATCTTCTTAAATATGCTCCTATTTCGCGTGCGGTTCGGATTATAAATAGTGTACCGGAACATGATTTGTTCCACAACCTACCAAGGTTTATTGAAGCAGTACAAAGGTATATTGAATATCACCGTATTGAGTAATTGTGTCTATATGGTTATAATATGTATGCCATACTGAGAGTATGTAACTCTTATAAGTCTAATAATTAAGGTAAAATTTTTATTAATTAAGTTACATGTTGGACTTAAATGTGTCAGGAAATGTGATATTGTATTGGAATAAACTGTAAGATGTCATATTGTAAGGTGTTGTAATAATAATAATAATCTCGAACCGGCTCGACTGTCGATATAAGGAGTCGAGGACTCGTATCGCATGCAACGCACACCGCTGCATTGCGTAAAACTTAGCCGACGAAGGCCGACATACGGAAACTTTGTTTGAATCGCAAATTGCTGCTAATTTTGTAGACTCATGTACCATTAGACTAGCTCAGTATTCTTTCACTGCAACAACGTATTTATATGGCCACTTATTTCCCAACATTTTGTTTGTTTACTATTTAGCATTGGTCTGGTTACCCAAAGATTTTCCTCGTACACTTGACATTGTCCGAGTCAGACGCCCACCTATTTCATAAACAGACATCAATTGAATAAAGAATGACCGATTTCGAGGGAACGTCCTTGTGGATTTTAGAATTTATTAGGTAGGTAAGTACCTGATAGTTAAACAATACCTACTGGTGATCTTTTGTTATTTTATACATGTTACTAGAATATTTATCCAATTTATTACATATGGCAACCTGGACAGTACGGCTTGCGTCAAACATTTCAATGAATACGACATTGACCGATAAATCCCAGTTTGTCTGATGTATAATGATATCTACAGATTTTTTGGATCATTTACAACTCACAACGCATCCAAATTGATCAAATAAATTAAATTATTAAACTAGTTCATTCTGAATTTTTATTTTGTAATTTTTGCCTGGTTGCCTAAATCCCCAGCAATGACGGGTTAAAAACTTGAACATGTAAATATACCTAAGTTACTACACTGAAGACGCCCATACTAATAGGTTTCTGTATAACCTTCGGGGCTTACGACAACATTGAAGAAAATAGAAGTCTGAAACAAACTAGTCTGAAACATTCTCGAAAATTCGACAATTGCCGGCCGTACCTAGTTAGTACATTGTTCTAGTTTCGGATAGTTAAAACAGACCTTGAAAACTTAATTTAGAAATAATTCATATTTTTGTATTACTTACATACATTATTGTGTAGACAGACAGACGGGGTTTAGAACCGCCAATAAGTTCAAAAATTCAAAATCAATAATAAATGTGGTAAAAATAAAAAATATACTTAATGGCTTTCTGTGGTATTTCTTTGTTTTTTCTTACTGCATAATAAGTAATCTGACAACTACTATTTGCAAGAAACGTAACCTTGCAAACGATTTCAAAAGTCTATCCAACCCCATCGACATTTACTCAACACAGAGAATCCAATCAACTGCCTACTTGAGTAATACGAATTGATGGCAAATCAAACCATAAAAGTTTGAAGTGTGCTAAATTGAAAATTGCTGTCTGGACGACAATTTTATTATATCGATTCGAGGAAAATAGCCAACAGATGGTCGAAATACATGAAACCTCATATATGGATAGACAGGAGTTTTTATATCCAACATCAAGAGCCCATGGTCGCCCTCTGATGAACTTGCCGTAATCTCCACACTTGGGGGACAGGCTGCTGATCGCAGTTTAAAAGACCCAGATATCAGAGTGCTGTTTCCTGGTCTCTGTCAAAGGCGTACTGCGGAAAGAATCTTAATTTACATTGATACAAATTCAGGTTGACTTGAAATTGAATGGATGAACGGTGCAATATTGTCTAAACACTCGACATGATAAATTTTATTTTAAAATGTTGAAGTTTCTTATTTATAATAATAACTAAGTAGAAATCTAAGAACCCGCTTCAATCCAAGAAACGGTTATTTTGTTTACATTCTCTTTGCCCTGTTGACGCAAATGTCAATTCCGTCGAAGACAGTCGTACGAAGTTTACATCAGCGGTTTTGCATCATTGTGATTTGTCAACACATCGACATCGAGCCTTCAGGCAACTCAAAAAGTAAACACAACACAGGGGGACTTTGACCTTTCTTTGCAATTCACACATTTGTAGCAACTTTTTAACGATCTTCGGAATCGTTTTACTTTGGTTAATTAATTCCTAGTAAGACATTACCTAATCCGTTTTTTTATTCGACATTCATTATCTGTACATTTTGTTTGCATGACCATGGTTTTTACCTGAGGATTGTGAGAACCCAAATGCTAATGGATTTAATCGTTTTGGGAAGAAGGGATTGGAATGTGTGGCTCCATTAGATAATCACATAATCATGTGTTTAATTTGCCTATTGTGTTAGGTGCATAGTTACATACACAACCAGTATAGCTACTTAGAGATTGAAAATTGAAATAGGTAGGTATTGTTTTATTTCATTGAGGATATTGGCTTTTACAGTTTGTTATAAATTGAAAGAGTTAATTCCCTCATCCCATGTAAATATTGGTTCTTATCTATTTTCAGTTTCTTTATTCACTTTCCGCCAAAAATTGTTAGTCTTTGTTTCATGTAAACTAGCTGGTTGACATTCTCAAAATGAGCACAATTATTCACTTTTTATTGTGTACCTACCTATTTACTTAATTGTGACATGGAGCTAGGATTTAACATGACAACCGACAAGTAAACTGTTCAAATTATTATACATACATTACAATACATTATATGTACATACCTACCTATCCTATCTAGAACACCTACATCATCACATAAAATTCCGACTACACCTTCGTTTACAAAACTGACATAGGTAACGCGTTTAACTCGTCGAGTACCGGTTTTATAGACACAATTAAAGAACAATAGGTCGCGGTCACCGGTGACCGCTTGGTGTTTGACAGTTTAAACAATACACAGGTATGTAATTTGAAACAATAATACCATGGCTGACAATCTAGATATCTTCACTTTCATAATTAATGCGAAACATCACGAGATACGATTGAGCACGATGCACAGACAACTTATCTAACGACTTTATCTTGTCGAGATAACTGCTGTTCTTGAACATTTCGTAACACTTTAGTGATGTGGACTGTCGTAGCTAGGTAATATACATTCAGGACACGACTCCACTGGATTTGGGGTGGAAATTCTGTATTGATCGCTTTGCCAACCTGTTTCAGAGCTTACATTTTATATTGTCTACTGGCGAACATACATTTTACTATTAGGTATCTATCACAAACAAATAACGACACCAGTAAATACACATTTGTACAGCGCTGTACTATTCGAACATTCTGATCAATTTGCAATATCCCGGAACCATTTAAAAGAAATCGAGGCATATGTTGCAGACTAAATGAAACATATTCACGTGATGACCGTGTCAAATGGCTAACAAACTCAGACAATGTTTCAAGGGTAGATTAATTCTAGAGGCTGTTGCTATCTGGAAGTTTCAGATAGCATCGACAATAAAATTGTAATGAATCTGTATCATTGTTTCTATAGATTAGAAATATTACAACTGGTCTTTCCAGCAGAATGTTATAAATCTCCATAACCGCTTTAGACGCGGAATGTCGGTAAATTATGTCCTCATTCATACATATTACGTAGTGTAGGTATGTCGAGGCAGAATGTGGGTTGATCCCACGGCTTCATCGTGCCGTGCTAAGCCGAGATACTGCAGACGTTCAGCCAACTCGAAATCGATTTCTAACAGAACGAGTCATTTTATTCAGTTCAAGGGCGTATTTGCCCTAAGAGTTATGTGATTGTTATGTACACGCAAAATTTTACGGCTTTGCATTCCAGCATATCGTATGTCTGCACGACATGGTGGATTTATGGCCAACCCAAAATGTAGAATTTTAATTGATGCGGCAGAACTCAAACAGTGCCTATTACATCATTTCAAAGAAATGTTAATGTTGCAGTCATAAAAGCAAATTAGACTACACCAAAACGATGGCCATTTCAATAGAACATTTAGTTTAGTTATTTTAGTCTGCCTGGATAAAATTAACATCGACCTTGCATGACCTCGAGTAGATAGACATATAGCACCGCTGGAGCGGCTATAACCAGATATCACGATAGATACCGTATCATGAATATTTGTTTTTTAACTTGTTGTCAAGCCGATGGCTTTCTTTTATGACGAGTTTGGTGTAAGTGTGTGAGTGTATGTATGTGCATATTATGTATCTTTGTTATTGTAAAAGGTATTTTATAGGTAGCTTATAAAAGAAACTAAGAAATAATTAAAAATTTAATTTATTAAATAACCTTTAACTTACTGAGAATCCCATACACGCCGAGCCCTAATAACCTATATGTACAGTTCGGCCCGCTTACTCTATATGTACAGCACGTGCAGGACAGGCTTTCAATCAATCACAGGAATATTATGTAGGTATGTCCCTTAAACCGGTGCACCAACTTCTTCCTGGTAAGATCTCGTAAGGTGAGCTGCGGCGGCGGTGAGCGAGCGGAGGGATCGGCGCAGACCACGCAGGTGTCGCCGGCAGGCAGCGGCAGACCGCGCGGCCGATTCCCTCTCGTCCTCTCCCTCGATACCAGAATCGCCAGCAGCACTAGATGCATCACTTTCAGTGTCACTCAGGTCTGACACTCGCCTGCCCCGCTCTACCCGCCTGTCGTGCTCCTCAGAGTCACCACTAGACCAGAGCAGCTCAGTCTTTAAATCATTCAGCATGGCGAACATGTTGAAAGGGTCATCATCACCCTCCTGGGGCAAGTTCATCAGACGGCTGGGCACGAGCACGGTCTCATCCATGACATTCACCATTTTAACAAATTTCTCCATGTCATTCAGTATGCTCTGCTTTGAGAACTCAGTATCATCGTGGCGGGCAATTTTGCGCAGGGTGTTCCTGTAACAATAGCAAACATGACATTAGAAACTTATTCACCATCACAATACTTAGTTCTAATAATCTGTGGGATATAATAATTTGAACTTTATAAAATTTAGTTTTATTCAAAACTGTTACTCGTCTAATCTCAAAAAAACTTTTTCTTTACAGTAGTGTTAACAATGATTACATAGTCTGCTCTGTGCAGTACTTTGGTGAAAGTAATGGAAAGGAATAATAGTATTTTTCAACGCTCATGATATTTATGATTCATTACAATTTGTGCCACAAGTCACAGAATGGCTTCATTTCAAGTATGAATGGAATTATAGTAGTCTGCTATAACTACTGTTTACATATTACATCACCAACACTAGTTTCTGATATAATATATGATTCAACTATTTCTCATGTATTCAAACTGATCATATATAAACTATGTTGAAGCAATCAAAAAGATTTTATTACCTAGTTTTTGAATAAACTATGTTAAATGTACTTCTTCGATTCAACTAACATATTGCTAGCATTCTTGAGCTAGTAACAGGATACAGAACCAAATTCAATCAAAGAGGAAATAGCTACTATATATTGGGATTCCTGGGATTTCCATGTGGATATTAATTAAGTAGTATGAATAGTTTGTTGAGTGTATCAAACTTGATAAAATAAGAATGAATTCATATAGGCAAGGTTAATAGTATAATCAGTATTCAAGACCATACTATTGAAATAGAATGTTACAATCCTAGTTATACATGCACACAGCTTAGGCTCTCTAGCTGTATGACATTTGCCTATGAAAAAAAACCAATAGACATTATGAAATTATGGTAATTCATGATGATTGTTTTGCCAGGTGGGTCAATATTGAATATAACATAAGACTCAAGAATTTAGCATGACCTGGACCTTGAATCATAATTACCTACATACCATCAATTTATAGTACAAGTTACAAGATAAAATATTCATCAAATGTACTTCTAACTAATACTAATAACGACGCCTCGATGGTCAACAGATATGAAATGATAATTTCAATGAAGTCACTGCAACATTTTCTGAGTCACACTTCGCGCACGCCCAGAACATAGGATATCCACATCGATGAAACTAGCGTCTAACCCATCTCGAAAATATCACACGGCACTACATCTATTACCAATAGTGAATTCTGGAATTTGTTGAAATATGACTCGTCATCAATGTGAAAGGTGGTCAAAGTCAAAAGCGATTCATGTCAAAAATCTTTTCCGTAAAATACACTGCCACGAATCATTTCAAAATATAAGCGTCACCCAAATTCCAGAATGCATCACGGACAACTAGAAGACACAGCACAGGGCCACATGCAATGGGAATGCAGTATCCAAGCCGTGCCCGTTGGTCGAGGTAAAATAAAAAAATTACACTTTTACATACCTGCTCTTCTCCAATTTGCTCGAGATATCGGTGTTGAAAGACATTTTCTCGTGTTATTTAACAATATTAAATATCACTGAACACACACGCCCCAATTTTTTATGATGTCACTACAAAATTGACGTTTACGCGGCTTGCGAAACAACGCGAACTGAATTCAACTGACGGACTCCGACAAGCACCCGCACGCAACGGAGAGGTTTGACGTTTTGGCAGAGGTGGGGAGCGCGCTCGTATTTATATGACACGATCATACGATGCGGGGCAAGCGAACTTTGAAATTATCAGTGTAGGTATTATGGAATAACTAACTAATGATAATGAATTTAATCGATGTTATTAAACACTACAAATGTAATAAACACTTCTGTTGTTTTGGTGCACAGTTAAAACCATGTTTCTGTTAAGAAAACAATTATCTACTTCAATATTCTCTGATCGGCCGGGCGCGTCCCACAGAAGTCACACCACATACGGAGCCGGCGATTGGTTGGTTTGAACCCCAGTCATTTTTTCATTGGTTTGTCAGATTTGAGCATAGCGCGGGCTTTTTAAAATTTGGCTCGAAAGATGCTCATTCATAAATACGTTGTTTTATTCCGTGTGTTTATTTTTTGTGTAGCCTTCCTGTGTTGTTCTTATTGAGATTTGATCATTTACACGTTTTACAGGATTTGTTTTAATTAAATGAATGCCTAATTTAAAACAACATGGTTACAAACTACTGAATATACATAGCTACCTACTTTCTTTCAGTAAATAAGGTGAAAGGTCTGTAGAATATACTTACCTTATTGTATGTTAAGTGTTGAATTAATTGTCCCTATTTACTTACGTACATACAGGTAAATAAAGGCATTCGTTCCTCATTAAAATTTTGAATATTGATGATATAAAATAAGTAAATTCCTATTTAGTTTTGCATCAACATTTGTTTACGTAATCTAATACGAACATACCTCAGTATGTACCTACTTGTTCTTCTACTATGATTATTATTTCGTTCCCGGGGATACCGACCAAATCTAAATATTTTTAGGTAGGTACATAAGAAACTTTTTTTAATGTTCCATTTTCAAATTAGGTACTCGACTCGACACAAATGAGAATAAATTTCAAACGTAGTAAGAATTAAAACTTTAAAAAGAAGTTGAGTTAACCATAAAAAAATTATTGTCAATCACCAAAGAGTTTAAATAAATATAGGGGTTTTAATCACCCCTGCCTGAATGATTGAGGTGAATGTCCTTAGCTCCTACAAATAACGATTCAAACTTCGAAGGACTATAAATTCTTGATTTTATGCCTATGTCCGAGAATTGAACTGTCGTCCTAACTAAATATTAAACGTCAAACATTTGGCTCATGCTATTATTGTCACACGAAAGATCTTGAAAGTGCATTGCAAACATAACTAGGTAGGCATGGTATGCTGGCGCAAAGAATAGATTAATATAGGTATGCGCCTAGTTCGTAAGTAGGTACCTATCTATGTATTACATTAATGGGTTTCATTATGTAAACATTGCGAGAATTTATGTTATTTTTATCAAAATAGATATGTAGTAGCAGGAAGGATTTGTAAATCGAGTCGAAATCAAATTGTGGGATCACTGTCCGATCGTACAGTTTTAATGGCTAGTCAAACCTGTTGACCACGTGGTCGGTCTATAGCACCGTGGATAGTTACGATGGTGATGAATGGTATTATCATAGATATAATAAAGAACTAAAAAAAAAATTTTTCATTGATAGTCCATTTATCGATAAAGGCTATAAGCTAGGTATAAAATATCACCCGACCCGAGCAGAGCGGGTGAAACCGCTCGAGAGTACCTAAGTAGGTAGGTAGTTACCTAGTAAATTATATAGATACCTTTCCCTAAATTGACACAAAAAATCTTTAGGGATCCTAGGCGCTTGACCCGCCCAGTCCAAGCTTGTTTTATTTTTAATTTCCGAGATTGGACAAGTTATCGAACAAAAACAGTCACGCCTTAAAATTGTAATATCTATCTACAATTTAACCAGTTATCGCCAGTTGTGATTGTCAGCGTTTCGACAACTGACATCATTGAAATTCAAAGAAAGGAAGAGCCAATTTCATGTAGAAAACAACACATGTTTTCATGCGTTATTCATGCATTTCGTTCGTCATACCACTGCCTAGGTACCTAAAGCAGCTAATTGAAAAATTGGTTCAAAAATCCCGCTGTGCACTACAAGCTCAGTAGATTCCCGATTGACATAGTTATAATGCTGTCAGTGTCAGTCAATCACATCCAGGAAAATAGCTTCTTAATTTTTTTTAATTTTCTCACATTGCGACTCCTTGCTAAGTAACAAAAAAAATATGTACATAGTACGCATATTTTTGTGATTGGTTATTTGTAAAATCGTTTGAACGTCGAACGATGTGATAAGTCCATATCATTTTCGGTGTAACATGAATACATGATCAACTTAAAATTAGTTAAATGAATAAAAACATGTGTATATTATTATGTAGAGGTTGCTACAAAAGCAATACCTAATCGAAGTTTTTATGAGTCAGACAATGGTTTATCAATTTTGTTTAAATATTTTGAATTGATCAATTATTAAAATTGGGTAGGTACTTAAGTTATTCAGGCATAGATCTAGATTACAAGTAGGTAGATACCTAGTCAAAAATGTCCCTATATTGATATTTTGACCTATTTTTTTATACCATAACGGTGTCAAAAAAAGCACATGCCATTAGGTAGGTAGTTAGGTACTCCTTTTAAATTACCTAATGAGTTAATAGTAAATTAGAGCGAGTTACCTAATTAAAACTAATTAGGATGCGAAGAAAAGGTAACACTGATTAACTTGATTATTATAATTGACATTAATTTTGTAATAAACAATTTTATGGTTGTTAAGTTCAATAGTTTTGAGGGCCAACAGGGTTGATGCCTATACGGAGTCGCGGAAGACTTAACGGATTACCGGGGCTCCAGCTCAAAGTGCAGGAGTAGGAACGGGGTAGGTTTTAGTCAGTAAGAGTCTGACTCCCTCTTTTTTTTTTAAGGGGGGAAAATCATCGAATGACTGCTCCCGCCTGGGTGAGGCGGAAGGGAGTGTCAGACTCTTACTGACTAAAAACCACCCCGTTCCTTCTCCTGCACGTCGAGCCGGAGCCCCGGTAACCCGTTAGGTTCTCCGCGACTCCGAATCGGCATCGGCCCTATTGGGCCCCATCTGTGGTGGTCTGATGGCTCTTTGAGGCGCGCGCGGAACGCGACGCGCCGTACGCTCGGGTCTGTTTCTGGTCGGACGGGGAGCCACCCATGCTCGCCGTCCGCAGGCCCGCGCTTACGGTGGCCGGAGATCGTCCCGCGATCCCCGACGCCCGGTGTGTCCTTCGCGACGGCTGGGTTGCGAGGAGGCAGCGCTTCGCTGCCTCACGCGTCCCGCCTCCTCCTTAGCTAGCATGACTGCTTCGCAAAAGGAGGAGACGGCATCCCAGTCCCCCTCGCTCCGCATCATGGCCTGCACTAGGCCCGGACGCGAGAGGTCTCCATCGCCGATCACTTCCCTGAGGGCACGGCGGTGCTCAGCCCACGCAGGTCTGACTCCCTCTGGCCTCACCCGGGCGGGAGAAGTAATTGGATGATTTTGCCCCTTCAAAAACAAAAGTTCAATAGTTTTTCAATGTAGTTCATTAATGTAAGTATGGTTGACTAGTCTAGTCAACTTCTGTTGTATTACAAATGAGTGTACCTCTACTTAATAGAAATAAAAGACGTCAATAGAAATAACATGAAAACGAATAGAATTGGTAATTGGTTTTAATTCAGTTCCACAATTTTTTGTGGTTTTAGGTTTATGTAGGTAGCTCACCTCACCTACCGATTGTATATTGACATTCATATGAAAAATAATAAAAATCCCTAATAAAATGTTTAGCGTATAAATACGAGTGGTAGCTTGTACCTAGGATAAGTTTAGGGTTGCCAACTTGTTTTTGGCGAAAAAGAAATAAACATACTTACCTACATTTTATGTGGATAACGTTACCTACCTATAAGAAAAAATGTATTTTTCAATTTTGTTTTTAATTTCGAAATTACTCGTCATATTTATGCATTAATTTTTACTTTACAATAGTTTCTTTCCTATCTATACAAAAAATGATGTACAATTTTCATACAATTTTATCGATAGTGATATCTGTGATAATTTGATCTTTATTAACTTTTAAATAACTATAAATCGCGGTAAATGTTGAAAATAAAGTCTTTTCACATACCTTGAATTGCAACTCAAAAGTAAGTTGAATAGTAAAGTTGAATGCAAAAGTATACTTTTGCTTTACTTTTACATTATAAAGTATAATTACCAAAAATAACGTAGGATACGTTATACAGTATGGTTGGCAACCCTACTAGGCTACCTAGCTACCTATATCAATAAATCGCACTTGTCATTGACCTACGGAGCTTGTCTTTGTAATCATACTCAATCGACATTAATCGGGTCGTTAGCCCTGCATTGTTATTTCAAAATATTAATATTAATGCTTACAAGTTTATTGACAACAAAAAACAAAGCGGAAAATAAAGAAACAGCGTTAATTTTCATGCCTTCGTCACTTTGAAAAATGAAAACAATAACACGACATTGATTGTACGTCATCTGGAACTGTTAAATCAAAATATTATTCGATTCCTATTTAAGCGCTAAGTTTCATCAGATTATTGTTATTATCGATGGAATCTGAATAAGATGTTCATAACAAATGCGTCGTGATGCTAAAACGAGCGCTGTCCTGTTTAGCAATAAAGTCTGGATTAGTATGTAGACTGTTTGGCTAGCTACTGACGTGGTAGTTCTATTTATTATTTGCATCGATTACGCATCACGCGTGCGATAAGTGACACTGTGATGTTCATAGGAAAATGTGACCTATGTTGTCTGAAAACACATTTCCATCTGACGCATGAAGAAAAGGCTATCCCAAGTCTATTTGGAAACATCACGTGTTATAAAACCATTAGGTATTCGATGTCCGTCTTTT